CCTGCTGCTTTGGGCATGCCTGAGTTCTCTCTCCTCACCTGGATCCCTGCAGCTGACTGCTCCTGTCTTGGTTCCTGGCTTTTAATCCCCTTTCTCCCACTCTCATGTCCTTCTGATTTGGGCATGGCTAGGTTCTCTCTCCTCACCTGGATCCCTGTGGCTGACTGCTCCTCTGTCCAGGTTTCTGGCTTTTAATCCCCTTTCTCCCACTCTCCCATTCTGCTGCTTTGGGCGTGCCTGGGTTTTCTCTCCTCACCTGGACCCCTGTGGCTGACTCTTCAGCATTAATAGCAAAGTTCAAAAAAAAACCCACACAAAAAAATGCTGGTAAGGGTGTGGAGATATGTAACACTCATACATTGCTGGTGGGACTGTTAAATGGTGCAAGCATGATGAAAACCACTATGATGCTTCCTTTAAAAGCTGGAAATAAAAATACCATATGATCCAGCAAACCCACTATTAAGTATATATCCTAGAGAAATAAGAGCTGTGACATGAACAGATATATGCACACCCATGTTCATTGCAATACTATTCACAATAGCAAAAGATGGGAACAAACCTAAACATCCATCATTGGAGGAATGGATCCACAAACTACGGTATATACACATGACAGAATACTATGCAATGTTAAAGAACAAAGATGAATCAATAAAACATCTCATATCATAGATGAACTTAGAGGCCATTATGCTGAGTGAAGTTAGTCAATCACAAAAGGACAAATATTGTGTAAGACCACTACTGCAAAAAGGCAAGGAAATGGTTTCACATAAAGGAAATATTCTTTGATGGTTACGAGGGGTGGGTGGGGAAGGGAGAGTAAATTACTAACTTAGAGGGTACTAAACCAGAAAACCAAACCAAACTCACCGCTGTCGAGTCGGATCCGACTCATAGTGACCTTTCCTTGGGTTTCCAAGGCAGTATCATTACAGAAGTAGATTGCTTAACCTTCCTTCTGAGGAGCGGCTGGTGGGTTTGAACCGCTAGCCTTCTGGTTAGCAGTCACATGCTTTAGGCACTATGCCTGGTTTCACATAAAGGAAATATTCTTTGATGGTTACTAGGGGTGGATAGGGAAGGGAGAGTAAACTACTAACTTAGAGGATAGATACATATTAACTTGGGGGAAAGAGAAAAAAAAAATCTCTTTACTTATTGGTTATAGAGAACTAGTTCAAATATTATGGGCCAGTCCTTTGGCACCAGAGGAAAGCTGTGTTTGGCTGGTGTTGATAGAAGCCTTGAAAGAAAGAGAACTTGAATGAGACACTGGAGCTTAGAAAAGAAGCTGGTATGTTCTTTGTCCCCTCATCTTCTGACATAAGCACATCTTCTGAAGACACTGGAATGGATCCTTCAACACCAAAATTTTTATTTCAATTACCTTTTTTAAAACCCTCAAAATACATTAATACACTGTAAGAGTTATTGTTAGGTGCCATTGAGTTGGCTGAGACTCATAGTGACCCCGTCTATGTACAAGAGAACAAAACACTACCTGGTTGTGCACAATCCTTCCTATACTTGAGTCTGTTCTTGAAGCCACTGACAGAGGATTGGTGGACATTGCGAGTAGAATAAGAATATAATCTTATTTTTGAAAGTGCTTAGAATCCATAGAAAACACTTTCACATATAAATCTCATCTAAAAAAGTCCTGAGGGCAAGCATTTTTCAAATGAGAGCACCAAGGTTCAGAAAGGTCAAAATGACTTGTTCAAGGTAGAAAGAACTGGTTGTGGACTTTGCATTTGCTAGGCTTAGTGCTCACCTGTCTATAGTACAGGACCACTGGCACTACTCTGTACTTGGTAAGATAGGGTTGTCGTTGTCATGGACACTCAGGACAGAACTTGGCTGCTGACTGAGTGGTGGAGTCCCTGGCGAACATAAGCACAGGTGGCTAACAGCAAATGGCCAAGAGGCTTACAATTTGATTCTTCTAGAGAAACATGCTGCCTATCATGTATGCACAAGTTCAACAATACGTTAGAACCTCAGTTTGAGATGAGGAAAGCTGCCATTCTAAAAATAGCCACCAAAAACACTAGCCAGAAGATCACTGTGATCTTCAGAGAAAAGCAGTGGTTCACTTCCTTCCGTATGCACCATGCCCTTCCAACCACTTCTGTTTCTTGACACGACTAGTAACCAAGGAAGTTCTCTAATGCTTCTTCCCCTCCATCTTAGCCTACGGTATTTCTGTTTTCCTAGTGGTCCTAGCAGTCTCTTCTCCAACTTGCTCAATCTCCAAGTTTCACTTTTTCTGAGAAATATCAAAAGTCAGTATAGGTAAAAAGAAAAAAAAAAAAGTCAGTGTAGAAATACATCTCTTGGATAGAACAAATTTGCCACCACTTTCTACCTAACCATGTTTTTTTACTGGTCTAACTCTGTATCATTTGTTCCTGCCTCCCTTTCTCTTATGTCAATTGGTACGACTCTAGCCATATGTCTTTACTAAGGTCAACCTCACAAAATTACCATATGGCCTGTGATCTCTCTGCTCCCCAGCAGTGAAAACAATCAAGGCAGGCCAACATTCTCATATTTGATTACTTCCAATGAATCAGGACCAATGAGCATGCTGTCCATATGACCAATGATTACAACTTGGATGCTGTAGAACTGGAGAGCCAAGAAGGATGATCCTGACCAGTGGGTGGACACCCAAATTCAGAAATACAACCAGAATATATCCCTTCCCTGATGGAATGCCATAAACACCATCCCTGTGGGTTTCCATGTCTTGAACTTCCAGTGCAAAGCACAATGCCAATATGGAGTCAGAGGCTAGTTCACCTGCACAGGCTTACCAGCTGCATGCTCTCCTCTTGCCCAGCCTCTTGGCCCATGGGGTCAAGGCCAAAAAAGAAAGAAAAAAACCAAACTCACTGCCGTCGAGTCGGATCCGACTCATAGTGACACTTTCTTGGGTTTCTGAGGAGGTATCACTATGGAAGTAGATTGCCTTCCTTCCGAGGAGTGGCTGGTGACGACTAGTCATCTGGTTCAAAGTCAAATGCCTTGGGCACTATGCCACCAGAGCTGCTGGGGTCAAGGCCATCCTCCAGCAAATTACCCATTGCTCCATGTCATGGCCTCACTGGGTCACATCTCGATTCTCAGGAGTGTGGTTGGTAAAGGTACAATGTCCAAGGCTCTCCAGAAAGCCTGGATCTTCTGGCCAATGCCTAATTGCACTGCTTCATGCTGCTATTGTGACCTGGAAAGGGCGGCACTCATGAATCTCTCTTTGAGGTTAATCAATAGAGAGTCAGGAAGTTATTCAAATTTAATTCTGCTGTAAAGAAAAAGAAGACTAGACTTTCTTAAATCAGAAAGATCTATCCCCCTAGCTCAGACAGGCTTTAGAACTGCGTTGTCTCAGATGGAGACCCCAAGCCTCTGGTGGCTAATGAGCAGCTGGAGCAGGGCTGGTCAGGTGGAGATGTGCTGCTATATGAGCATGCACGCCAGATTCTGAAGACTTAGTATGAAGAGATATAAATGAGCTGATTAATACATTTTTATATTGAGTACATGGTGAAATGGTAATATACTGAGTATACTGGGTTAAATAAATACATTATTAAAATTAATGTCACCTGTTTCTTTTGCTTTTTTAATGTGGCTACTAGAAAATCTAAAAGTCTATTTGTGGCTTACATTATGTTTCTATTGGACAGGCTGCTTTAGATAAAACCCAACAGCTTCTTTAAGGGTTTGCTTTTAGAGAAAGGATGAGCATGCTAATGATCTGGTTTGAGGCACCCTTTTCGAAAGCCAGTGTACCCCCATGAACACTCGAGTAGTCATGCTGCACATGAGGACCCAGCAAACATGACTGCACAGCACCCAGTATATCCGTGGGATTGACTGGGCCAGAGCCCACAGCTTCCTTACAGAGCATGGGGATCAAGGGTCTCATCAGCTCTGCTTGTTTCATAATTCTTTCTTTATTTGACTTTATAATCCTTTATGCATTTTTAATATCTTCAAATAACACAGAAAAAAACTTACAGGTTTTGAGATGGTGAATCTGCTGCTGGGATGCACAGGTATTTAACCCCCTGCAGAATGATAAAACATTAAAAAATGATGCTCAGTGCAGAAAAGTATTTAGAGGAACTATTTACTCAGGTCAAAAATATAAAATGTAAAAAGAAGAAGTTTTTCATTAGTCTTTTGTTGCCAAGGAACTAGAGGAAAACTAATTAAGGTTCCTGGTCATGGAAACTATGACCACGTGTACAACTCTTCATACTCTAGTTTGTAAACAGTTTGTAGGTTTAGACAAAATTCAAGGGTACATCAAAAAGTGACATAATTGAGTACTTTTCAGTATCAACCAGTTCCAAAACCACCACCTCAGATGTGTGTTCATTATTTCACATTTTTATCTCTCACTTAGAATGCTGTGTGACCAAAAATGAAGCTGTGCTTATAAAAGTCTCAACAGATGACTGAACACGATGGTACAATGACAGCCACAATAAACTTTACACACTGCAAACAATATCCTTCATTTTGGTTGTCTGTCAGAAGAGTAAAATTTTTATACCAAACATTGCATTCTTCAGAGAATGGCCAACTTGGGAAAGAAAAAAAAGAACTTAATATAGTCCTCTATAAAAATCTGTAAAAATTTTTACATAAACTCATGCTATAGAAATCATGCCAAGGAGTGTTCTAAAAAATCGAGTTGTTTTTCCTTTGGAGGATTTATAGTTCAAAAAGTTCTTAAATATCAAGTGAAAATACAAAATGTAATAATCTCAGCAAACCTTGCAAGACAATTATGGCTTTATAAAGAATTAAATGAATTACAATAAAACCTGTGAAAGCCAAATCTGTGTAAGGCGGAAACCCGTCAGAGAAGGAAAACGCAAATATTTTCCACTAAAACTAATAACAGAAAAGTGGTAAGACTGCACCTTGTCAAAGGCAGAAAATGTCCAAGTCCCAGAAAACCAAGGCAGTCCCATCAAGTTCCAGCTCTCCCAGGTTTCCCTGTGTTTTAAACCCTTCCTCTCTAGATAGCTTAATGTCACAGTACCTTATCATGTCATGGACAACAGCAGGGGGAAACGCATCAGAAACCTGAAAAATTACTAACTTGTCTTTGTTATCTAGTGCTGCTATAACAGAAATACAAGTAGATGGTTCAACAAATAGAAATTTACTCTTCACACTTTAGAAGGCTAGAAGACCAAATTCAGGGCATGAGCTCTAGTAGAAGGCTTTCTCTCTCTGTTGGCTCTGGGGGAAGGTCCCTGTCCTGTTTAACAGCTATGGGCCAGCATTCCTTTGAGATATCCATGTGTCTTGGCATCATTCTTCCTCTGGGTCTAGAGGTTCTCAGCACAGGGACCCCAGGTTCAAAAGATGCATTCCACTCCAGGCTCTTTTTCTTGGTGGTACTAGGATTCTTTCCTTTATGCTCACTTCTCTCTCCTTTTATCTCTTATAAGATAAAAGGTAATGCAGGCCATATCCCTGGGAAACTTCCCTTACATTGGATCAGGGATCTGAAGGGTATTGCATCCCACCCTAAACCTCTTACAACTGACTGATCACATCCAATCACATCATGGGGGAGACTACATCATTATGTAACTGCCAGATCACTGAGAATCATGCCTCAGCCAAGCTGACACATATTTTGGGAGGAACACAATGCACTCCATGACATACTGAAGAGAGTAAAACAAGTTCAGATATGTAGAATCGTGATACAGAAAATCAAAAGTTCCTTGAAACATAAAGAATGTTGTCCACTGTCTCCATAAGATGTATATCTTATAAAATAACTATTAAAGAATTATTTGAAAATGTTTTCAGTTGATCATCCAGTGTTCACTGTTCACTCCTATCATGTCTGTGCTGTATTTATTAATATAGTCTTGTAAGGAACATCTAAATTGTGGCTGCCCAAAACTCTTCAATACTCTACATTTTGATAGTTCCTCACAATGTAAGTCCTACCTCCCCAATACAGACTCCACATAAATAACATTTTCAACCTCCTTTACTTTGGGGGCAGACTTCTGACTTGGTCTCACCAACCTGACACATCTACACAAGACTGGTTTGGAACCAGGGTGTGGGAAGGAAGAGTGGACAGAGGGCATAATGCTGTTGGGACAGATGGCGACAGGGGCTGTCTCTCTCCTCAGCCAGTGGTTGGATGAGGTTCTGGGTATTGATCCTGGAAGTTCAGCTCACCTGTTTCTCCACCTTGTCCGAGGACAGCATACAATATCAATCCTCTCTTAATAAACCCATTCCTGTTGAAACTGGCTCAGAGTAGAATCTTTTTGCAAGTAAGACCTAAGAGCTACACTTCCTTTTCCCATGGCCTGCCACTATGAAAAGTCAGAAGAAACCTTATTTTCTGAACATCGTCTCTCTACTTTTTTTCCAGCTTTGAGTCAGTAAAGGCTCCTCTGGGTCTTTAAGCAAGTGAGTTTAACCACTGCGTACCATTTGGGAATGCTTCACAAATGACCAAACAGGCTTTAATCACGCCAATGGTTAAATTCAAGGATTAGTTGGCAGATGAGGACAGTGAAACAACAGATTCTCTCCCATTCAGTTTTAAATTTTGCTTTGACTGCTAACCAGAAGCCTGGTGGTTCAAACCCACCAGCCATTCCTTGGAAGGAAGACTGGCCAATCTACTTCCATAGTGATACTGCCTCAGAAACCCAAGGAGGGGTCACTATGAGTCAGTTCTGACTTGATGGCAGTGAGTTTGGATTTTGAGTATCCCCAGCTGCCTCCTTCTGTCTGTCCTAATTTTTCGTGGACTGGTGCTTTGCTTACTTTGTGTTGCTCTAACAGAAAATACCTTAGGCGGAATGGCTTTAACAAACAGGAGTTTTTCTCTTACAGTTTTGGAGGCTAGAAGTCTGAGTTCAAAGTGCCAGTGGCTGGGTGAAAGTCCCTCGACCTTGGCTTTCAGCTCTGCCTCTTGTTCCCAGCCCACTAGAGCTAGAAGTGTCTCTTCACTCAAGCAGCTGCTGGCTCCTGAGGCTAACAAGCCCAAGGTCGACAAATAAAATGACACAGTCCCAATATTACCAAACAACATGGCAGACTACTAGTTCAAGTCCAGAGACAGTCCCAAGATTGGCAGGAAACATGGCAGGCTGCTAAATGAAGACTTGGCTACATGTAGGGTTCAATTGTGCCAAAAGCCACAGACCATTCCCAAAGCTGCTCTTTATACATGGGAAGCAGACCAATGCCTAAAGCAGCTGTCCAGCGGCTCACAACAGATTCCACCATGTAGTTGATTGCCAGTCTCATCATGAGGAAGGAGCTCTGGTGGCATAACGCCTAAGGCATTTGACTACTAACCAGAAGGTTGTCGGTTCAAACCTACCAGCCACACTGTGGAAGTAAGATTGGGCAATTTACTTCTGTAAAAATTTACCCCCTTGGAAGAGTTCCGGCAAGATGGCGGACTAGGCAGAAGGATTGCACAGACCCTCTTCAACAAAGAAAAGGGAAACCAATTAACACAGACACAGAAG